AGCAGACCAGAATGACAGGCACTCCAAGCATGAACCTACTATTACAAATTGCCATCTTCAGTGCAGTTGCTTAGTTCACAGGTGTCTGTATATATAGTTAGGGTGAGACGATCGGGGCTTTTAATACCAAGTAATGAAGTATGCCAGTGTGCCCAGAGCCCCCGTCATCACCCAGGATAGGTATTTCCTGAATGACCAATCCGTGATGTTATGGAATCATGCCTGAGAGAAAACCAATCCAAAGTACAAGACGGATAAACAGATCCTCACAGAACAGAGGGTGGGAAGCAGAGCGGCCTCATTTCGGATTGCAGTGTGACCAGTTTTTAGGAAACTGCCACCTGCTGAGTTTCAGTGTACACAAAGGACAGTGACCATGGTTATCTGGGAAGAAAAGTACTAAAGTCTGTTCCCTTGTGTAACTGCGTGTGTGTGAGCCCAGATTTTCCTCAAATACTTCGGTATCCCTCGTCAGCAGGGTAGAAACTGAGATATGGGATTCCACCTGCACTCCTGCACTGGGGCCGTCGGCTTAGTACATAAAACCCAGGACAGTTAAATTTGAGTTCCAGATAAATAAGGAATAGCTTAGCATATATGCGTGTCCCAGCTACTGCAGCCTGTGTTGTAACTGGCAACCTTAACTGTTAAGGGAGACATTTGATTTGTTGTTTGGAAACATAACTAATACAGCTTTCTGAAATATGTTAACATGTCATTTGGTTTATTTTCAAATGTATTGATACTTTTTTTTAACTTTAAAAATAGTTTTAGATTTCTCAGTTTGAATCTCTAACACATTAAATACAAATACAAGTCGCCCACATAAGCAGGCGCTCTCCGCAGTCCGCCACAGAGGGTCCCGAGGCGCCTCCGAGTGCTGTGCACTTGGTAATCCCCTCATCCCGGGTCCGCCGAGTGCTGTGTGCTTGGTGATCCCCTCAGCCCGGGTCCCCAGAGGTGGGGCCTGCAGCGCACTGTGCTGCAGAGGAAGCTGCCGATAGCAAATGCTCCAAGCTAAGGCGCTCAGGGGAGATGCGGAGCCTCAGAAGCGTCCCGGGCCAGGTTTGTGAAGCAGGGAGAGCTTCCTGGATTGGAGAGAAGACCTGGAGAGGAGGACCGGGCTTTGCCCCAGTTCTGAACTAACAGTTCAGGGGACAGAGAGCGGGCAGCACGTAGTCCGGAGTGCCGTCCGGGTGGGGCCCGGGGAGGTGAATCCCCTCATAGCTGTGTCTGTGCTGGGGGCGGGGAGTTGGAGGGGAAGTTTGGAGGAAGGACCATCGATTAAGCTGTTAGTGGGAACACAGAAAGGACCTGTGTTTCGTTAGCCCGCTCACAGCACCTTTTTTTTTTTTGTATTTTGTGGAGGGTCTCATGACACAGCTCGCACTCATAGTGATCCTCCTGCTTTCAGCCTCCCCAGCGCTGGGATCACAAGCGTGCACCATCATGTGCCACCATGCTCGGACTTAGTCACAGCTCAGCATACCCGGGGGCGGGGCCAGTGGGACATGTGGTGCTGCCTAAGCAGGCGCTTAGTCTGTTGAGCTGTCTAGCCAGTCCTCACAGCATTTTTAATAAAACACCCAATATACATTCTTGGGTGATTTTATACCTGTTGTTGCCCTGATTTTTTTTTCTTTTCCGTTTTTGGTTTGGTTTGGTTTGGTTTCTGGTACCAGGGATTGAACTCAGGATCTTGCGCTTGCCAGGGAAGCGCTTATTCCACTGAGCTATCTCCCCGGCTGTTGCCTGATTTTCCAAGTAGTTTAAATCCTTAAAACTCTGGCGGTTTCCTTGCTGTGAACAGTTATTTTCACCATTTTCTCACCAGTGCAGTCCTAGATGCCCTGTGCGCCGAATTTAAATCCCGCACATTGCATTTTTAAGCTGGCAAGTTCTGTCAGCCCTTTGCAAGCTCAGGGAATCGCAAATGATTGTGTCTAGGATGCAGCATGACATCAGGTCACCTCCCATCCCACCCCTCCCCAAGGCGACGTCCCCCAAGGGATGAGAAAGCAGGCGTCCAGTGAATTATGACAGCTTTGTAATCTGACTGCAGCCAGGTGCGAGTCAGACCCCACCACTAGGAGATTTATGTTGCTCTCTGGAAGAGAGCATTTGCAAATTTTTGCCTAATAGTGTGCTCCTCCTTGCTTAGAGAAAAGCATCGTAAGGGAAGTAACCGTCTCACTCAGCGACGCCCTTCTCCCCCCTCCCTGCCTTCGCAGGAGCGGAACCTGGCTGCCCACATCCGCACCCACACTGGAGAGAAGCCCCACAAGCACCTCGGGCAGAGGCGGAATCTGGAAGTGCATCGCAAGAAGTACCACGAAGACTCAGATTTCAACCTGACCCTTCACGAGTGTCCCACGTGTGGCAGGGGCTTCTCGCGCTGGGTAAGTCACTGACGCCCTCTGTGGCCTCTGCAGACCCGCCCAGAGGAGCGGCAGAGTTGGATGAGAGAGCCGGGCGGGACTCCAGATTGCCTCTGCTGGCCTGGGCAAAGCTGGTTAGTTTGGGGCGACTTACGCTAGGAAGGTTCAGTCTGTGGGTAAAGGTCCTGGACAGAGGACATAGGCTCACCCCATGCAACTGGGAAGCAGAGAGACCGGAGGAGCCGGGGAGGGAGACACGCTCTGTCGGGTTCCACCCCAGTGCCCCCTCTTCCAGCCAGGCCCCCCCAACCCACATTCAGCAGCGGGCTCATCCACTAACAGATGTAGTGCACCATGACCCATCACCTTCTAAAAGCTTGAACTCTGCACAAAGAGCCTTTGTGAGGGGAGAGGGTCATTCTAAATCTAAACCATAATGATAAGTAATTATCTCAAAGTTTGACAGCTTCAAGTTACAGGCATTTATCCCTTCACAGTTTCCGTAGGTCTGGGTCGGGAAGGGTTTGGTGGGTGGTTCTTAAGCGGGTGTCCAGAGGTTGCAGGCAGGACCTCAGCTCTGTCCCTGCCACAGGGCTGCCCACCTGTCCCCAAGGCTCAGAGCACATGACAAGAGGAGGCCATCGTTCCTTCTGCTGCCAAGTCTTAAAAGTGTCCCGACTTTAACCTCCGTGGATTAGAAACAAATCCCAAGGCCCAAACATGCTCAAAGGGGAATAAGGTCCTTCTGGGAAGCAGGAGTACCGGGGAGTTTGCGGACATTTTAAAACCGCCCTAGACACCAGGTGCTGCAGCCCAGATTTGGAACTTTTGAACTACTGTATTTGGACTTGATTGGTTTTGGTTTTGGGGGTTTTTGTTTTGTTTTGTTTTTTATTTTATTTTATTTTTTTATTTTTATTTTTTGGCGGAACTGGGGATTGAACTCAGGCCCTTGCACGTGTCAGGCAAGCGCTTATTCCACTGAGCCATCTCCCTGGCCCCCTTAATTGGTTTTATATGGGAAACTTCTATCATTTTTCTTAAAAGAAAAATATTAGAGTAGTTGTGCCTTTCTGGGTGGCATAGTAGGAACACTCTGGAACATTAACCTTCTTCACACAGAATTCCAAATAAAAGTGGTGGCGGTGGTACAGAAGTACCAGTTCAAGCTAGCGTCACTGAAGAGTAAAATTTTTGAGTAGAAACTGCCCTTTGGTGCAAGATGCAGGAAAGAAAGGCCTAATGAGCATTACACTGTCCCTCAGAACGGTCTTGAAACTTTTTCTTCCATTGAAGAAAGCGTGATGGGCCCAGGGAGATAGCTCGGTGGAGTAAGTGCTTACCTGGCAAGCTCAAGGTCCTGAGCTTGATCCCTGGTACCGCTAAAAAAACAAAATGTGGAAAGAAAGCATGATGCACCAGAAGACCTAACTCCCAATCTGCTGCGCATCAGCTGCGCCAAGCATGTGCTCCCCAAAGGGGAAGACAGAATTCTAAGGAACAGTGGAGGTGAAGAATAGGGAAGATTTATTGAGGGAGGTAGCTCCTGAGACAAGAGGGGACCCGAAGGTGGGCTGCCGCTGAGGTCGCCTCTTAAGAATGAATCACAAGGTGGGCACAAGGTCATGAAGCAGGCACCACAGAGATCAAACTGTAATCAGCCAGGAAGACCAGAAGTGCAGCTGCTTGGCTGGCAGTGAGCCAATAGGGACTGGGAAGAGCAAAGGCATCCAGGTAAAAAGGATGAGTGGGGATACGCTGGTCACCCCGTTGGATGATTGATGTCTACCGAGATGTAATGGCCCACATGGTACCAATTACAATATAATCTCACATTCCACTCATCCTGCAAGTCTGGCCATTGTAACTCTAATCCTGTCTTCTTCAGAGCTTCCAGCCATGCTGTGATGTGTTCTCATCTCTGGCGCTGACTCCTGGGAGGGCCCATCCCCATCTGACTGCCTATTAATTTTGGTCTAGCTTAGCTATCTGTGATAGGTGTATCTGACCCCATGTCTAGAATGTGTGAAGAACTCTTACAGCTCAAGAAGAATTAGACGGTTACCCAGATAAAAGCAAGCAGAACAGCCGGCCAGATAGCTCCGTGGACTAAGGCGCCTGCTCAGGCGGACGCAGGGACTAAGTTTGATCCCTGACGTGCTGTGCTGGCCTCGCCCTTGAGGTGCGCTGAGAGAGCCACTGAGATGGGGCATGGTGGTGTGTGCCTGTAATCGCAGCACTTGGGAGGCAGAAAACAGGAGAATCGCTGAGTCTGATCTGTGTAGTGAGACCCTGTAGACCCTTTACTAAACACATAAAAAAGAAAAAAACAAGCAGAATCCAACTTAAATATCTACATAGACATGGCTTCTAAGAAACCCAGAGAAGGCAGCAAGTACAGGAGAAGCTGCCCTGCCTGCCGTGGCCACTGGGGCAGTGGACCCCTGAGCCGTGGAGAGCCTGCAGTGTCCTGAGTGTGAAGATGGGGGAGCCGGGGCCCTCACGTGCTTCAGATAGGATTAACAGAGGGAAGCCCTCTGAGGGGGTGGCAGGTCTTAAGAAAGTTTAACCCTGGCGTCACCGTGGGACCCAGCAGTGCCACCCCTAGACCTATGCCTGCAAGCACAAGAAACTGCATATAGCAGTGTTCTTAGCAACACTAGTCGTATGCATGGCCAGGTGACACACAGCCTGTCCTTACAGTGGAATAAAGCCTAGCCATGAAAAGGGCCATAGAGGAGGCCGGGGAGATGGCTCAGTAGAATACGTGCTTGCCTGGCAAGCACAAGGGCCTCAGTTCAATCCCCGCTTCTGCCAAAAAAAAATTAAATTAAATTAAAGAAGAAAAGGGCCACAGAAAGCCACATGTCATATGATCCATTTAGTGACATGTCCAGGACATGTTGGCAAATTCATGTGACAGATAGTGGATTAGTGGCTTCCGTGGAGTTCTTTGGGAGGAGTGAAATGTTCTAAATCCACTGCCCACTCAATTCTGTGAATACCCTAAAAACCATGCATTGTAAGTGGGTGAACTGTACAGTATGTCAGTTATGTCTCTGCAGAGCTATTGAGAGATAAAAGAAAGCAGATCTACCCTCTTGAATCCAACCTGATTTTTAGAAAGTAAATTATCTTGTTCGTCCAGTAACAGGTTGGCCACAGCATCATGTTTTTGTACCAGAGTGGCACAAAGCCAGACCCTGTGCTCCCCTCGGAAACCTGACCAGGACCCTGGGTGGGGCCCTTCCATTCTGGAGTAAAGTTTCTTTTGGCCCAGGGAGTTGTCGAATTTGTTCACCCTGGATGTGGGTTCCAAAGGCCAA